GACGGGACGGAGGATCCCGGCAGAGAGAAGAGAGAGAGGGCGGGCACCGGGAGGCCGGGCCAGGGCCAGCCCACCAGGCCAGGCCGCCCAGCGCTTGGGGGTGGGTGAGGGGATGGAGGGGGCACGGGGCACACGGCACACAGATGGGGGTGGGGGCGAGGCGGGACAACTGAACTCAAAACTGAACCGAAGAAAGGGAGGAAAAACGAAATAAAAAACAAAATCCACAAATGTCATTAGATACCGAAATCAAAAACAATGTCTGAACTCCTGGGGAACTGACATTTTCCTGTTAACATTTTTTCTTTCTTTGTTTTCCGGCCCTGCAGAGATCTGTGGAGCTGTCAGTAGCACCCGACTGTCTTTCTGTTTCTCTCTTTTCTTTTTCTTTCTTTTTCTTTTTCTTTTTTTAAGTTCTGATTTTTTAAGTCCCTCTTGGTTAACGTCCACTTACCAATAAAGTGGCACTTCCTCCTTTAGTAGGTAAGATGTGTAAGAGAAGGGAAAAGCGTGGTAGCGTAAGTTCATCATTAGATTCACAAAAATGCAAGAGAGATAGAGAGAGAGAGAGAAAAACGCAACCACCCCATTCTAGGCCAAGAGGAGGCCATGCCACCTCTGGAGGAAGGATTAGCAGTGCCCGGCTCCTCGGGCCTGAGCAGGCACCTCTTGGGTGACCACTGGATAGAGATGTTGAATGTTTTTCCAAAAGTGGAGTCAGGACACAAGCATCGGGCTACAGAAAACCAGAAAGGGCACCTGGTACCATCAAAAGGGCCCTGGCTGGGAAGCAGGGGTCTGAGAGCCTGCCACAATCTCACTGAGTGACCCTGGCCAAGTCACTTCCCTAGTCTGGGCCTTAGTTTCCCCATCCACAAAATGAGACGGTCAGACTTTGCTTCTGGATGTCCCTTCCAGAGCAAATATTCCAGGATTCCCTGACCACCCTCTCCATCCCCCACCCTCCACAGAACTGACCCTTCCTCCTGTCCTTAGGCTTCCATCCAGTAACAGTTGATTGCACTTGTCTGTCTGTAAGTCTGTCCCCCATCCCTCCCTACCCCCCAATCACCAGCACCAGCTTGACTTGGAGCACCTCCAGGGCCAATGTGGTGTTGGATTCAGCTTTGTAACCTCAGTTTTTATCACAAAACTTGGCATCTAGTAAGGCCTCAGTGCGGTTTGCTGAGGAAGAAATGCCCTTGCAAGGGCCAGGGCCAAACCAGGGAGTCCTAGGAAAGGGGCAGGGTCTGGGTCAAGCTCTACTGGCAGCCTTTTTGGAGGAGAGAGCAAAACCAGCTGCCACGCCTCAGGGCACCTTGCTGCCAGGGACAGGAAGGAGCGTGGCTTCCTTGGCATGGCCCTGGGTGCTTCCTGGAGGGGGTGGGGGTGTGGCGTTAAGACCCCTCTGTGCTAAGCCTGAATCCCTAGATGAAAAAGTCAGCTCCCTCTGGGGCAGGGCACAGCTAGCTCGTGATTGGTGGCTGCAGCAGCCAATGAACACCAGCCATAGCAGGGAGAGCAGCTGTCCAGAGCCAAATGGGCCATGAAGACCTGGGAGAGCCTTCTGTTTAGGGCAGGGGCAGACATAGGCAGGCAGAATGGATATCACTGGGTGCCAAGGTGCCCCTTGAGCACTCTGACTTTCCTGATCACCAGCTCACCTCTGCTAGGAGAGATGGACGCTGGGCTGTTCCGTCATGGCCCCTCTGAAATGGCAATCTATTCTCAGTAGACCGGGAGACACTTGTCTTCCCTAACACATAACCCCCTCCACCCCAGCAGGTGGCCAGTGCCTCACAGCGCCCAAGCCCCCAGAACTAGGTTCCGTCATCCAGCATCCTTTTCCCTCCAGAGGAGGCAAATGAGAAAGAAATCTCCAGGATCCTAAGCACTGAGATCCAAGCCCCTGGGCCAGACTCCCTGTGCTGAGCCGGATGCTTCCTGCCTAGCATGTCTTGAAGTCCAAGCTCTTCCTCACTCCCCTCTCACCTCCTTCAAGCCAAATGGCTGTTAGAGCCCCAGATGATAGTAATTGGCAAAGTGGAACACCCTGGGATTAGCTCTGATATGAGTTTGCTGTGAAACCTTAAGGAAGTGTCCAACTCTGGGAACCTGTTTCCCCATTGGTAAAGTGGGGGATAGCTGGGTCTCTACTAGGTGGGCCTGTACAGGGGCTGAGAGGTTCTTTTCAGAGGACAACTCTTACTCATTGTCCCCTTACAGATGAACAGGGTCAGAGCAGGGCAGGAAGGCCTGGGGCCCCATGGGTATCTCCCAAGTGCCAGGATGGAGGAGGGTGGGAGGAAGGCTATGTTGGGTAGGGTGGCAGATAGCACCTCCCTGGGGAGACTTCTAGAGCCAATCTCACCCTTATCCACCCATCCCTCCAGAAGCCCTGGAGAAAGAGTCACCGTGATCCTGCCAGAGGGTGAGCCTCTTCCCCAGCCTGGGTCTCATTCTTCCCAGGAATTGAGGGAGATCCGAGTCCAGACACCACAGAACTTCATGGACAGACGGGACTGTGGTGGCCAGGGACCTCCAAACATCCCCAGAAGCCTGCTCTCTTGTCCCTCTTGCCTCTTTCCCCTGGCTAATGCCTATCGCCCCCCAACCCTAGCAAGAGGTCACCACCTCCAGGAAGCCTCTCCTGATCCTCACCCTGAGTCGGGTGCTCTCCTCTATGATCCCACAGACCCTTGTTCCTTCCCTTAGTATGGACTCTGCCAGGCTGTGCCAGGGCTGGGGCTACCGTGGCCAGCAGGAGCTCCCCATCCACGGTTCAGCTCTTCCCTCTCATCGTCCTGAGTGATCTTCATCAGTCCTCCAGCCTGACAGGCGGGGGCTGTGAACTCAGGCCTGCCTGCCTCTCCCCTGGTGTGGACACCAAGATGGGGCCTGGTACGGGAGTGCCAGCCTAGTGCTGGCCTAGTGTGTGCGTGTATGAATGAGTGAGTGAGTGCGTGAATGAGGGACCTCGCCTGCCTCTGAGCCCTGCTCCCAGGAGCCCCTCTGCTCCTTGGTACCACCTGCTACCTGACATCTTTTGCTTATGTAAGACATTTTTGAAGGGAAAGATAAGAGTAGCAAGGGACAGGGTGCTTGCCCAGTCCTGGTATCCTTAAGGACAAGAACAAGTGAGCATCTGGAAGAGCTACCCCCTCTAACTCGGCATCTGAAAATCCTATTTCGGGGGCCCTGGTCACATCAGGTACTCCTCGAGGGCAAGGCCTCCACTCCCGCATCAGGCTGGGATGCAGTCTCCTCCGTCAGACCAGCGGCACTTTCTCCCTCCCTGAACAATGTCCTTGTCTGCCCTCCAGCACCACCCAGGGATGAGGGATGCTCTGGTGGGTGAGCTCCCTGGGACCTGCCCCTGGGGCCAGCATAGGGGGAGGAGAGAATGAATAGCCAGGCTTTTCTCTTTTCAAAGCCGAGGATGGAGGCCCACTGAGGCCTCACAAGGGTTGGGGTGTCAAACTTCTGCAGCGGCTCCCAGGTGGGACAGGGAACAGTTTAAAGGGCAAGGACGGGGAGATGGGGCCCCTGAGGACCTACTCCTCATGTGTACCCTCAGTGTGGCTGGATGAGCACCGGGCTGGGAGTCACAAGTCTCAGGATCCAGGCCTGGTTCTCCATCAACATCCTGAGGGCCCCTGGCCCCTACTGACCGTCCCTTCCAGATCATCTGCACTGAGGGACCACATTTAGCCCACATTTGGAAGATGGAAGGATGCTGGGGGACTGAGGGAGCCCCTGACTGGGTTGGGTTGTGGTCCAGGAAGAGGGGTGGGAGAGCTGAGCATCCCCTCCATGTCTCAAGTTGCCCCCACAGAGACTTTGCTAAGTAGGTCATCTACATCCGGTACCTGTTCCTGGCCAGCTCACATCACCCCTGAAGTTCAAGTACCATTACGCCCAAAAGACGGAGCGGTGAGGTTCAGTCCTGGTGCCAGCTGCTGCACCTGCCACCAGGGCAGGACCGTGGGAGCCCAGCAGGCCCTGGAGTGTGGCACAGAGCTCTTTCCTCAGGCCTGACCTCGGCCAGAGCTTCCTCCAAGATCTGGAGGCCAAGAGGCCCAGCACAGGCCCTTCCACCATCACTTATTGCCCAAGGTGGCCCAGGGGACTGGCAGGCGTCGGGGTGAGGGGCTTAGCGGCTACTCCAGACAATAGAAATCAAACTGGCTTCACCGCAGCATACAGCTCAGGAAGGGAACACAAACTCGGAATGCTAAACCACACAGAAATGCATTCGGACAACAAAATGAGAAAGAGAGGGCGTGAGGGAGGCTTGGGGGAATGGGGGCGGGGATGGCGAGGAAGAAGAAAGAGAAGGGGAAGGTGGGAAAGGGGGGAAGAATGAACCAGAAAAGTTGTCAGGAAAAGTCAAGAAAACTAAACGACAAACCAGGAAACACAGCTTTGTAGCT